GCGCCCGCTCCCGCGCAGGGCCCCGCTCCAGAGGAAGGAGTAACGGCTCCGCAGCTCACCGGTGTTATGAAGAACTACTGTTTATTACAATGACAATTGTAATAAATACATATGGTCTAATAAACACAAATACAATGGAAATGACAATTCCCCCGTTGGTGGCGATTCTTGGAGACACTTTGGAAAACACACGTTTTTTACAAGCCAGGTCTTTCTTGCAAGCCATCCGCACGGAGCCCGAGCTGGTGGCCGAGGTGGTGGCCGGCGGGTCACGGGCCTCGCTGCGCGGGACGCAGGCCCCACGACCCGCAGCCCGCAGGGCCCGGGAGCCCTTGGACCGCGCAGCGGGAGCCGGTTCCGACGCTCCACGGGACGTCACGTTCCCTCCGTGGTGCGGGGCGGCCGCGGGGAGCCCGTCCAGCTCGGAGCCCCTCGGCTGCGCGGGGTTTATTAGGAGCAGGAAAGTGCATGGAGCGGGGCTAGGAGGGGCAGGGGGATGTTAATACAGAGCCCTTTGGAAGTGCGAGCCGAGAACTTCCACTTGGGGMTTCCATGGAGATCTAAGGGGATTTCAGGAGGCTTTTGGGTGTCTCGGTGACTGGAGGCCGGGATGGGACTTCCACGTACCTRCTAAACCAGGCCCAGAACTAAGTGATCGTGCGAGAGACCAAGAACACCAAGCTTTAAATACTCAGAGAGGCTGGAACGCACGGTTTTAAGATGAAACTCAGGAATGTTTTGTGACACAATAAGATACTTCTGTTTAGAAAACACCGTCATTTAGAACAGGGCCCTTCCTGGGAAGGCGCCGTGGGCGCAGACGGCGGCAGGTCGGATGTGGGTCTGCACTGCTGGAGGGTGGTCGGCCAAGCACGGAGCTGCTTCCGTCCCTCGGTCAGCGGGTTCCTCCAGGGGCGCCCCTTGCTGCCTCCCACGGAGCCTCAACAGCTCCGGGGGGCTCCGAGGGGGCGCGGGGGCTGCCAGGCCTCCCCCTGGGCAAGGGGTGAACATCCCTGGCACGGCCGGGCAAATTTCCCGTCCCCCACCCTTGCGTGGTGAGGGCGGCAGGGAAAAGGTATCGGGAAGCAAGGGGTGGCCTGGGCCGTCCTCTCCCGGGGGCGGGAAGTCGGGGATGAGGCTGGAGAGGGGCTCCTGCAGCCACCACTTGAGCGAGCAGGTTTCTCTCCTGCCTCAGCCCCGAGCCCTGCGGATGCGGAGCCGCGGCTGGGCAGAATTCCTCGGGAAGGAAGAAAAGCTGGGAAATGTCTGTTGACTAGTCAAGAAACTGGGAGGGTTTTCAAAAAACTCATGTGGATGTCTATCCCCCGGAAATAAGTCAAAAAACAGATCATGCAGCTTTCTAACAAGCTTTCTAACACAAGGGTTTTAATCTTTCCTAGTGAGACAGATGTTTTGCCTTCCGTTCTGTGAAGGCAGGAAAGGACTAAACGTGAGCAACACAAGCATTTCTCCTCCACAACACGTCATCGTTATGGCTTGAGTGTAACTCCCACTGTATCCCTTCCTTCCAATTGTTTGACCGAATGTATGCCCCGAGGCAGATGTACTAGAAAACGCCAAAGCACCACRAAGTGAGAGACACAGCTAGTGGTACGGTACTCCTTGCCACACAAAAATGCCAATATAAATATGTTAGAACAAGTTACAAGTGTATCATACTTAAGACAAAAAGAAAAAAAAATAAATATATATATTTTTTAAAGAGCAGAACAAATCTCAAGCAGCCAAGTGGTGAAGTTGCAGTGACGCACAGTAGGCGATGTCGCCCTACCACCTTTTGGGAAGATACACGGGAAGAAGACTGCTGCAAACGCGCCTTGGCAAATGTGGGTACAGACTGCAGCGGCTGGCTGGCACTCACTATGGGACACGGATGTTAACGGCAGGCCGGGAGGGAACGGATTCCGMGTTTGAGGCCACGCGCGCTCCGTTCTCCAGAAGAAAGTCCTCACACAGCACGCACACTGCCAGAGCCGCYGGGCCAGTCAGTACTCCTCCTGCTGCGGGGGCTGCTCGTGCACTTGCTCCTCACCCTCCTGCTCTTCCGTGTGGCCCTCCTGCAAGGCGGAAAGAGGCAGGACACGCGTTAGCAGAGGGCGGCCCTCGCGGGCCCCTTGTCAGCGCAGCCTCGCGCTCAGCTGCTCAGCGGCATCCTCGGGGGAGCCCCGGGCGCCAGCACCTTGCCTGCACGCCCACTGCTTTCACGCAGAGCTACAACTGCAAAACAGTATGTTACGGCAAAGTTAAGAGCTCTTTGCAAATTCTCTCTCAAATACAGYGAAAAGAAGCAAACAGATGTTAAATCCTGGGTACCATAATCCAGAAACAYGGACCAATGAAGCCTCTGGTAGCTGTTTTGTACAGCTCTTCATTTAGTGAGTTTTAAACTGTACGTTTGTTCAGTGCAATCTGCTGCTGCAGCCCGCAAGCTCTGAGTGGTGGCAAATAAACCCAAATTCACATGTGGCTAATCCAAACCGACCGGTTTGCACGACGTTTTTGACCGTTCACAACTCACTTTGTGCTTGTGAGCAAGTCCAAAGGTACCCGAGAAACCACAAAGGGAGCTGTTACCTGGGACAAGCAGCATCTGGTAGACTTACAACAAACGACACTGCCTGGTTCGTTGTCGATCTGTGTGCAAGCAGTGCTGACCCCTCCCAGWGAAAGGATGGGGTTTTGACATCACCAAGTGATGACCACTCCAGTAAACAAGTATTTTGAACAGCGAGGCAGCGAGATGCCCCAGTGAAATGCTCTGTTACAGCAGCCTGATGTCATCCCATTTTCCATCTGCCTAAGATCCTGCCTCCTGGTCTATCTGCCTTCTGAACCTGTTTGCTGTAGCTGCCACACGGTCTTCGCTSGAGCTCTGCGTCACAGAATGGACTCGACACTTCTGCTGTCAACTGCTTTAAAAATTAAAYAACTGCCCCTGTGAGAGGCCAGATAGCCCTCCAGCCCAGGATGCTCCCTCCAGCCCAGGACCACAGAGCAGAGGCCACCACAACGCTGGTGTTTTCCACCACCCACAAGGCCGAACTGGAGACTTGGTTGGCACCAACAGGAATAGTTTCTACGGAAAAAATGCAGCTCAGCACCGGCAGGTTTACAGAGCTCCTGCCGGAAGCGGGTGATGCCTGCGGAGCTCCTCCCCGTCAGCAGCAGCCCTGGCAGAGGGAGGCCCTTGCGGAGCGCTGCAGCTGAGGGGCAGCCCTGCTGCAAGCCGCGGCCCTGACCGAAAGCGACCCGGGATCCGCAGAGCAGATGACACGGGTTTTAATCCGTTTCCAATCTGGACACAACAGAGCTGGCACCTCGGCTTGGCCTAGACGCAGCGGAGCTCACAAAGGCCCATTCCCAAGCGCTGCCCTCGCAGCGCCGGTCAGCGCAGCCAGGTCCAGCTTCCCTCTCGGGGTGCTCGATTCCAGCCAAGAGGGGCTTGCTGGAAAGGCCTCCCGGTCCCATGGAGCCGAGCCCCGTTCCAGGCTCGGGGCCGCGGTGCGGTGCGCGCCGGCACCGGAGCTTGCACAGCTGGGAAACGGGAGCCTGCGAGCTCCTGGAGTGCCCACAGCGTGCAGGCTGCAACAAAACGTCCTCCCTGTGGCAATACGACAGCCGTATTTCCAGGAGCCGGCAACAGGAGAAGGCGCCTGACATGAGCTGGAGCGGCGGGGGCGCCCCGCAGCGCACGGAGCGCAGGAACAGCCCGGGCACGGAGGGCAGCAGCCCCTGGCACCCAGCAGCTCGGGTGCAGCCGTGCCCCGCAGCGCCCCGGGACAGGGAGCAAAGTCCCGGGACAGGGAGCAACGTCCCGGGACAGGGAGCAACGTGCCGGCCCCGCGGCGCGCCGGGCAGCGGCGTGCGGGGGGCAGAGGTGCCGGGGGGCGCGCGGCCGCCCGCCACGTCCCCCCGCGCGGTGTCCCACCTCGGATCCCGGGCCCCTCCGAGGCTGCCGTCCACCGCCGCCCTGCAGGCAACGTGGAGACGGAGGCCGCGAGGAAGACGCTGGGTGTGAGGAAGGCTATGGGGGCCTCTCCCCGGAGCAGCAGCAGCTGCAGCGGCCGCTCGAGCACAGATTCAGCCCCCCCGAAGTGGGAGCGAGCGCTTTGGATCCGGAGCCGCCAACGGATCCAAGGCAGCACCACGGAAGGGCCCGCAGCGGCGCACGCCGCAAAGCCACTGCGGCTCCTTTATGCCCAAACCAGTTTGGCTCCAGCGCCTCCCAGCGCGGCCCAGTCCCACGCAGTCCACCAGCCTGAAAGCCTCCCCCAGAGAACAGACCGGCCCGTCCCACACGGCCGAGGTCTCCAGCCTGTCCTCGCAGCAACAGCTCGAGCACTGCGGCCACCTCCCCATCCCCAGGGCGCCCCTTCTCCGTAGGTCTTGGTCAGCTTTGGTCTCGGCTGATTAAATTAAAAATCAAAGCCGAAAGGGTTACAGGCTGCCCAGGCAGACAAACTTCAAATGACATCATCAGCACAGCCGGCCTCCCTCCTGCATAAGCAGGGGCTGCCAGGGAGGAGGTTTAGCATGCCAGGGAAAAGCAGCCTTTAAAAACAAGGAATCCAAACCGGTATTTGTGCTGTAAATCCCAGGCCCCCTCCAAAACTAAATATCTGAATCCGCCRCATGAACCCGGGGAATTTCTCTCAAATGCAAAGCTGTAAAAATGTAACTTCTGGAGATCCCTTTTTGCAGGAATAAGCTGTTTGTCCATCCTTTGAGTGTCTCCACACAGAGTCCACACGACAGCCTGCAGCCCTCACGGGGGATCCACTTGCGGCTGGGAGACGTGGGCTGCACTTCAAGTGCTGTCCACATTTTTTTTTTAAGCAAGGATTAAATTAAGTGTAACAGAAAAATTAGTCGGAGAGGGAGAGAGACACTTCCCCCCGCTGAACAAAASCAGTTGGCATCGCTCTGCACCAGGAGGACAACAGATGCCTGTCCCGTTCCAGCCAGGCAAGAAGGACATGCAAGTGTTGGGAAAAGGTTGTTGGAAAAATGGGCTGAAAACAGATTTAAGTCAGTTGTGATATTCAAGTACGAGGCCTTGCTCAGGGATGACTCGTGTGGTTTGTGTGACCTGTGTCACCTCGCGTCCCCTTCCCGAAGGAAAGCCTCAAGGCCAYGTCTCACTCACAATCACTGCGTGATTCTGCATTCACTGCCACGAATCCCAAAATTTAAGGTAGTCTTTTTTGCCCCTTTACTCCTAACAAGTTGAAACATTTAGAGAGTTTAAAACGTATCTATATCTATCTATCAAAGCTAGATTTATTATGAACTTGTAAGCAAGATTCTGGGAAAGCTGGAGTTGCTTGCGGTTTGGGAATTGGGGCTATTTGCCTTTTGGGGGCTCAGGAACTGCAGTTACCAAGGGAKTAACCTGGAAAATGTGGCGAGACAAAACTTAACTTGGAAGGAAAAACAATTACTACAGAGCCAGAAAAAAAATCCCAGAACATAAAAGCAAAGCAGGACAATGACGGGGCACTGCAAGAAAAAAAACGTGAGCAGGATCTGCCGTGTCCTTCCCAGGCATCCACAAGGATCACAAGCTTTTGCTCCCCGAAGCTGGGGTCTCACTCCAGAAAACCAGAGCCCACCTGGGCCGAGGAGCGGAGGCAATCGGGGAGAGGGAGAGCAGCTCTCCCGCTCCAGGAGCCAAGTGATTCCGCGGGGTCGGCCCAGGGGACGGCTCTGCACCCTCCCCGGGAGGGCTTCTCCAGCTGGGCAGGGGCCAGAGGGGCCTCCCCTCACAAACTCATCCCTGCTCCTGAATCATCCCTGAATCCAGAGGACACCTCTGAGCACTGCACCCGTGGAACACCCTTGGGCTGCTACTCACGCGGCTGGCAAGTCCRTCCCATGGTCTGTTCCCAGGAAAATATTTCCATTTCCGCCTCCTCTCTAGCACTCAGCCTGCACTGCCGAACACATGCCCTTCCCTCGGGCRCCTCCAGCCTGGGCGGCGGCTTTGTGACCCTCCCTGCTGGAGCAGGAAGGCTGGACTAGATGATCTCTAGAGGTCCCTTCCAACCTCAGCCACTCTGCTCTGCTCTGCTCTGTTCTCCCACATCCAACCCGTGGTGTGCCTCCCGATCTCTGCTAAGAGACCTGTGTGTGAGGAGCCCCCGGAGCACTGCTCCTGGCATCACACACTTTTCAGCCAGCCGTCCTGCAGCAGCAGCTTCCTGGCAGCCAACGCAGGCAAGCACACAACGCAGCACAGGGCTCCTGGAAAACTAAGCTGATGCTTACAGCTGTGATGCCCAAACTCGCYCCCAATGGAGAGCAAGGGGCAGTCACCCGGGCGGTGAATGGAGGCGGGAATGAGAGCTGCCTGGCAAACCCCGCCGCAGTCCTTACCTCTGAACGTGCCTGAGGAATTGAGGCAGCCGCAAAGAGGAGGCTGCAGAGCACGGCTGCCTATAGAGCAGTGCCCAAGACGCAGCGAGATTCTTGCTTAATGTTGCAGGCAAGATGTTTCTGAATTTTGGTAGTAGAGGATTATAGAGTTTGCACAGGGAAGAATTTTGCCTATAGCAACAAGATAAAAAATGCTAAAGAGTCTTATCTCTGCAGACATAATTACATATTTGGCAACGTGCACTGCGGCACTTCCACGTGGGCAAGAGACGGCTTAGCTGTAGATTTTAAACAAGAACTCTGCAAGAATTCCTCTGCTTTTGAATTTTCAGGACATTAAAGAATGTGAGTGAAAAGCCTTTATGTTGAAAGGCAGCAGGGAAAAAATGAAACTAAGGCTCAAGAACATATGAAATCAATTTAGAATTGTGACACACGCCTCCCCTGGCAGATTAACTGCAGGAGAAGTGGAGCATAAGAGCTACCCAGCAGCAGGGAAAAACAAGCAGCTCCCTGAACCCCCTCCCCAAGCTGAAAAGTCTGATATTTATGAACAGAAACTTCCTTTTTGGGGGGAGGACAGAGGAAAACACAGCCACTCCAGTTGCTCCTGACCTAAACGAAGACGTGACCTAACACAGAACCAAGAAACTTTTCCAGAATTAAGCTGCTGTGTCTCATTAAAGGTATTATACTTGAACTTACGTGTTCGTCTGAGGCATAGAGAACTTCCATTAGCCGCTGGACAAGGTCGTTATTCTCTCCCCCATGCTCTTGGCAGAGAAGTTCGATCTCCCTCAGTTTGCCGAAGTAGAAATCCCTCTCCTTCTCCACGCCTTCGAGTGCAAGTTTTAACGAATGTACCTGGGGGGAAGCAGGGCAAAGCTGTGAGCTGCACCCAGGAAGAGCAACTCARTCCCATCACCCGAAATACACACATATGGCCAAATGTTCTACCTTAAGGTGAATTACATGCTTTATGGAGTGCTAGACTGAACATTACACAATGCACAATACTAAAGCAGGCTTCCTTGCAACATCTCTTAGATGTCCCTCAACCTTGATCTGAAATATTAGCAGTCCTTGAGGCCAAACTTGAGGCAACTACTGAAGCTGCCAGGAGTGACCCAACAGGGTAACAGGTAAAACCCCCTCCAAGCTTCAGTTGCCTTTCTGACTGAAACTTTGCTCCTGAGTCTCCAAGCTGTACCGCTAGTCTCCATTTCACCACTAGGTTTGCTGCAATTCAATTATGGGCAGCCCAACTACTAACCTTTGCATAAACTGTGACAGATGCTGCAGCGTTGCTTTTATTTATTTTTTTTTCAGAACAATTCTGTGAGAGCTAAGCAGGTAAGTTACTTGCTAGTGGGATACACACCATTAGTGTAACACGGGCACACAGGCAGCAGCATGATGCTGGTGCCGCTGGTGAGGCTGTCTGCGGCACCCCCGATCCCGGGGGAAAAGGCCAGGAGGCTCCGAGCGATGCCCTGGCAGCCCAGTCCCCTCTGCCTGCTGAGCCTGCAAAGCCTCCGGCAGCAGCTCCAGCACCAGCAGCTCCAGCACCAGCAGCTCCAGCACCAGCAGCTCCAGCACCACCAGCTCCAGCTCCAGCACCAGCAGCTCCAGTAGCTCCAGCAGCAGCTCCAGCACCAGCAGCTCCAGCACCAGCAGCTCCAGCACCAGCACCAGCAGCTCCAGCACCAGCAGCTCCAGCAGCTCACAGCTCAGGCAGCCTCAGCCCGCTGCCCTCTTCACCAGGGCAGCATTTTCCTTCATTTCCCTGCACCACACGCACCCCCTTTGGAGAAAGCGCCTCATTAAGCAATCCACAGAGGCACACTGTTAATTAACTGCGCAAACACTGCTGCGACCAAAGCAGACACGCTTCTCTTAACCACCTACCAGCTACTTGTGTTGCCACTGCTGCCTGCCGCCTTCGCCGCCCACTCGCAAGCCAAGGGGCTGGTGCAGCGAGAGGCAGACGGGGCCCCTTCCCAAAGGGAAGGCTACATGGGAGCTGGGAACTAGCTACATGGGAGCTGGGAGCTGCTCCCGGGCAGGGCTCCATTCCCTGCTGTCTCCCAGCTGGGGCTGGAGAGCACTGGCTGGCACAGACCAAAGCCCAGCAGGGATCCTATTAACATCTGAATGTTATGGATGATCCCAGCGCCCAGGGACATTCCTGGGAATTGTTTGGTTTACATGCATAGCCCAGAGCAGTAGCTAAGGCCATTTTAAGAGAAACTTTAAGGCCGCTGGAAGGCACGAGGCTGACAGATATTATTGCAAGTAGCTCAGGGAGCGACGCTGCGCCACCATACAGGGAGTGGACAGCTCCGCTGGGCAGGAGCTCCCACTGCCCCTGCACACGCGCTTGGAGGTCTCCATCCCCTTCAGCTGCCATCAGGAAACGCTGGAAAATCTTGCACAGCCACCGAGGAATACGACAGTCAGGACCATATAAGCTTTTTGGCTCTTACATATGGCCTCAAGCACAAGTCATCATTAGTGGGGATCCCATGCCAAGCATGCCAGCAGTGAAAGAAAGGCCTCCTGAACCACGCCAGCCTACAGGGAGCTCGAGGACTAGCTATTCAAACACCAGCCTCCCAGCCCTCCTCATGATTTCTTCTCCAAGGTGGGGGAATTCTCTGCTTTTCCGTAGGGTTATTTGTATATAATGCTCAAAGTCTTTACGAATGGAACTTGCCTCGGCTCTACTGGCAGGGGCTATGAGAGTGGCCACTGTTTTGGGTTTTATGGAAGACCAGAAACTGCTCCTGTTGCTCACGTACCAACCAACGCTCCCGCTGAGGGGAGCGCGCTGCGACTTCTAGGTGCAAACACCATGATTTTAGCTATGCCAAGCTGCCCTCCAGGCCTCACTCTTACAACGATACAAACAGATTCTCTCCGAAATAAATACATCCATTCCTTGTATTTGAAAACACTTTAATAAAGTAACAGTCAAAGAGCCATGCACAAGGCTGGGGGCCCTGTTGTGCTCTCTGCTGCCCAGATTCGTACCCTAAATCTGTTAACACTTYGTGTTTTGGATGTGGTTATTCATCCACCAKCTTAAGAATGCAACAGGACCCAAGAAATATGCAATCTGACAGCACAGTCTTGAGCCAGATGTCCATATCTAACTTAAGAGCCTTCCTGAGTGACAGGGTGGTGCAAAAGTTCCCGAGCATAAATGAAAATTAAGCCCTTACCTTCTTAATATTGAAGGAAGTTTGAATTCTTATTAACTGTATTGCAGAATATTATTGACTCCAGAGTTTTATAATGTAATTAATAATTTTCACAAAGATAAATCACATTTTAAAATCAAAAGGTATACTGCCATCTTAATGCCCTCTTTCCAGAAAGCTGACTGCATCGACCAATTGAGCTGCCAATCTCTTAACTCCCACATATTACTGAATCTTATTTTTCATTATTTATAAATATTACTATATTTATAAATACAATATAATGCATCTTTGTGGTGAAAACAAAATATTATGATTTATAAATATAGTAATATTTTGTTTTCTCCACAAAGACGCATTAAAATGATTTGTAATACRTAAGAACAAGGACAGTACTGGGATTTTACTGCCAAATAAAACAAAGATACCTTTCAAATCTAATATATGCAACACAATACCCATAATTTTTCTTTTAATTCATGAATGCRGTAGGAGGGACATGAATTCCTCCTGAAATCTTGACGTTTAGTAGTTAGATAAAAGTAACTTTAATAAATCTTTCAAACAGYAGTAAGACTCAACCATCATTCTCAAGATCACCTTTTAAAAACAGTGCTCTCATATGCTCCTCTTACCAGTAACCCCCTTTTTCTTCTCCAGCTGAGYTATTTTATTCTTTTGCACTTTCATGGCTTTGGAGAACATCATTCAATAGAGAGCAATATTAGATTTCATGCCTTTCTCTGACGATGAATGAATCTAATTTTATGCCTAAAGCAAATTTACCTGTTCACTGAGCTGTATGACTTGAGTTTCCAAGTCTTTATCTGATTTGGATGCTGAGCTGCTTGGGGCAGCTTTTTTTGCTGAAGATGGGCGAGAAGGTGTTGATCCTGGCTTAGAAGCCGGACTGGACTTAGCAGCACCTGGAAAGTACAGTAAATAAACAATAGTAAAGATTTAGCTTCATAATAAATGCATTTTAATGTAATGTAATGTGATACAGAGATAAAACTATTCAAATCTGTAAAAYGTAATTCCTGCTATTACTTGAAGATTACAATGGAAAAGTTGCTACTACACCTTAGGAATGGAAAAAATGAATTTCCTAGCAGTTTTCCTTTGAGCTTGCAACTGAAACTACGGAAAATGACGAAATTAAATTTAAAAATCAGAATAAGACTGCAAAGTTCCCTAGCTGTCAGCAGCTTTCAGCATTAAAAACAAAATGCTAAAGGCCAACACCCCCAACCTGATGTTCAACAGACATATGTGTCTTGAAAGCCGCCGGAGAAAGGCACAGGAGACAGACCCATCTCATCGGCCGCTTCCCCTTCTCCATGTCCAGACGTCAYCCCCACCGAGACAGAGACAGGGCCATTAAGATGGCCGTGGCCCCCGGTTGCCATGGCRACCGCGAGATCCGTTTGGATCTGCTCGGGCTTTGCAGTTGGGTTGCGTCGTTGGCGCCGCCGACCCCACGGAAACGCAGCGGCGACCGGGGAGCGCGTCCCGGTGCTCCCAAGCAGACGGACATCTCTGAGCAAGGGGCTACGCTCCAGGATCCTCAGTATCTTCATATGAATCTCGCAAAAACCTCTTTTTTTTAACAAATTCATGCCTCCAATCGAGCCAATTCTGATTTCTAAATCCTTACGATAATGGATCCATGAAGACACCTCTACCTGGTTTCAGTTCCAATACCTGGACTGGCCACAGCTGGAGAAAACTGAAAACTGAGTGCGGCCTACAGGCCTGAAATTACTTTACTTTTATTATCATGCTCAGAGCAGCAACAAATATGTAATTTGTGGGAAGAAAAAAATAAAAGGCAGAACTGCCGAGATCTTTTGCTGCCATTTCTTCCTTTGGGTAATGTCAAGCATTAGCGCCCTGTCTTTATTTCTATATTTTCACGTGTTCAGAGGATATTTTGACCGGCTGAAAGTCAATTGTTTAAGAAAAGGATTGCTGAGGTGCTCTCCAAGCCTAGAAATTAACTTTTACTTRTATTGGCAGATAAACAGGCGACAGCAGAAATGTCAAAAGATGCAAGATACACAACATGCYAGTGTGGCCTCAGGTTATTCCCTGAGCTGCTACAACACGCACGCTATCTCACACGCAACTACAAGAGTCCCCATACATAATTTAACGTGACATATATGCACTCCAGATCAAGGTATTGACATTTATCTTTTACTGTAGTCTACGTCTGCAATAAGCAGTTTAAGATCTCAAGTGAAAATTAAATGCTATAAACACACCGTGGACCTTTAGATGTGAAACCTCAGTTGGTCCAAGAGGTTTCCCCCTTGGACTCCCCTCTTCTTCTACCCAAAAGCAGCACTGAACTTCTCCCTAGGCAACAGGTGTCTTCCAGAAACACAGGGAATTTGTGCAGGGGCTTCTAGGACTTGCCTTTGCCCTCRCAGGGTGTGCTGAGCAAGCTCACATCACCCCATGTGCAGACCCAGAGGGCTGGAGAGCACCAAGAACATCTTGTCTGCCCTCCTCCCATAGCAAAAAACCCTTTGAATTTTATAGCCGAGTGTTACAAAGCTTCATAATGTCCCAACAAATCAAGGGAARTTGACTTTTGCTCCACCGCTTGGGATCAGCTCCCGCTTTAGTAATGCAGTTAAAACCTGGCTAAATAATCTCGGCATTCCAGGCAGGATCAGCGACAGCTGGCTAGAAATTAATTGCAACAGAATGCCCAGGGATTTCTAATTTAAATCCCCTGAATTAAAAAAAAATCACACGCACACACAAAAAAAAAAGACAAAAGAGGCTAAAACATCAGCTATTGAATCGGTTGAGAAGTACATCTTGGAATTTCCTTAATTTCCTAAGCAGATTAAAGGATGTGGGTTACAAGAATGCTTCAGTGCGAAGAGCTTGAGACAGCCACATATCTAAATGCAGATGAAGGATCTTGATAGACTTACTGACTTTGCTGCTGAGCACCACGGGGACGTGTGGGGCATTACTGCAAGGGGGCAGGTGGGCAGCAGCCCCTATTCACAGCTCTGAGGTGCTCTGTAAGCCAAGCAGCTTCAGCTCCTTCCAAGGGAAGGTCTTCTACACAGATTCTACTTTCTATCTGCCAAAAACAATCAGTTCCTGCTGGTAGTGACTATACTGACTATAAAGTCTTCAGTAAGACTTTCCTGATGTCCCATGAGATCTCTGTCATGTAGAAAGGGTGGACTTTTTTGGCTTGGACAGCAGTGCAGGAAGTTCCAGTTGCTTATTTTGAGGAGGCCCAGAGCACTGTACAAGTATTTTTCATACAGAACACGGCACAGCAAGTCGGCTGAGGGAGGCAACTCCACCCCGCACCCAGGAGGCCACCTCTGGGCACGTGGGGCTCCCCCGGCTGCCCGTGCGAGTCCAGCGAGCGGTCACGGAGTCCATGGAGGGCCGGGAGCACCGGCCGTATGGGGAGAGACTGAGAGAGCTGGGCCTGCGTCATTGCAGGAGGGATGCTGAGGGGGAACAACCTGGATCTCAACAGGGATATACACCATGGATATGCCAACATGGAGGGCAGGAAAGGCAACATGTCACCGCCGTTCTCGGTGGTGCCTAGTGACAGCGCAACAGGCACAAACTGGCACACAGCAAGTTCTGCCTGAACACAGGAAAATCCCCCTCTGTGGGGTGACTGAGCACTGGAAGAGGGTGCCTGGAGATGTTAACATCCCGTAACATCCYGACAGSAAAGCTCAGGAAGAGTGGGTTGGATGAGGGGACAGGGAGGTGGATTGGGAACTGGCTGGATGGCAGAGCTAGTCCTTAATCCACAGCACTCCTGACACATGCCACATAAGCAAAACTTTTTAAAAAGCAAAAAATCCTTCTCAAAAAATAGCCTAGAAATGTACACAAAACTAACAAAACCACACAACAACAACAAATCCCAGAGGCCGCAGAGCTCACACRTTCTTCATCAGCTGAACAAAAACTCTCCCTCCAGTTTAGTTGACAGGGAACAATACATGAATTCATATCCACACACGCTTACAGCTACACAGGGATGCAAGAAACTCCTCAAATTTGGGATATTTAGTGGCACAACAGATGAAAAATGACGCTTAATGGGAATGACATGATCTTCSACCAAACCCAACCCGACCCCTGCCACCCCATGTGCAGCAGAGCAAACGCTCGGTTATTTTGTGCTCTCAACTCCTCCAGGGCAGCAAGAATTGAAGAACTGAAGCTTATCTCAAAAAATTTAAAGGAGGAATCCTAGCAAGAACTCGTAATGGAGTCTCCCTGTTGGACAAAAAAGTTTCTCCGATAGCGTGGCCGGCTGGTTCATCTTTAATGGGAGAAGATGCCATAGGTGGCAGCTCACCAGGGCCTTCTCCCATTGCAAACCAAGCCTTTTGAGATTTAAAATAATCGAAATTGGATTGGCAAACATTACCTGCTCCTAAATGAATCCCCTGCTTTCTCCTGAAAAATCTTCAAGCAGACAAATACAAGGTATAAAATTATTTAGCACAAACCTACCAGGAGACAATGTGGGAAAAACTGATACCCTCTGTAAAAGCTGTTTTATACTACGCTGCAAATATCTGGCTACCTATCACAACAAAGCAGTCCCGAAAGGGAAAATGGAAGGAAAACATGCAGAGAGAAGCACAYTGATACACGAAACATCACAGGGAATTTAAGCAAGCCAGGCCCAAGCCACAAGTCAGCATTACTCCTGATTTCCACCACGGATTTGCAGGCACAGTCGTGGCTCCAGGGGACAGAGCCCGGGGCCTGCGTCGTTAGCAGTGTTGCTAACGGGTCTAAATCCCCTGTCCCAAGGGCTCCAAGGCCTGAGCGTGGCTCGTGTGCCTATATTAGGACGGAGCCCTTTCCCGCTCACCTCGCCGGGCGGGCTCCGTCCCGCACACGCTGTTCCCGGCGCGCGGCGGGGCGCTCTGCTCTCCCGTGACCTCGGCACTGACGCATTTTCCGTGTGTCACCTCCGCGCTCCGTCGCGGCGCATCCCCACGGATGGACGCAAACGCTGCAGACACCAACTGCCAGCAGCACGGGGGGAAAAGGGACGAGTTTTGGTGGGAAGCAGAGGAAGATGCCTTGGAAAGGGCTCGCCAGTCTGCAGCATTCTTAACACTCACTGCTACGGCAACAACTGTTTTTCTTTTCATTAAGCATGTTTATTCCTCGAAATTAATTTAGAGCACATCTGCTACGGTGGGATAGACCATGTCTTTAGAAAATCAGGGTTTTTCCTTGCATAATCGGCTCTTTGATGGCATATGCATTATATATAACCCAGCCGTGGACAAACTGTTCATTCTGCCCTGGTTATTTTCCCTGTCATAGAGTGATTATTTTTAGCCCTCATGTGATCCTCCAGTATTTTCCAGCTCTGCTTTAGTCATCCTGCCCTCACAGAATATTTCAAACTAAAAAGTCCAACAGCCTTCAGATCTCAGAGCCTCTTACATTTTTAGCTTACTGTGTAAATAATTGATTTTATTAGGCAGTCTCTTACCCCTGTGACACCCTGCACACAGAAGGCAGTGCTGTGGGCCCGTCTGCTCTGAGGCACAGCAATACTTACATAAGACACCGAGCTACAACCCCGACAACCCAATCAAAAATTTCAATCTGATAAGATGAAGCTTTGGSCTATTTCGTACCAGGAGCATTAGAGCCGGCACAAACAACAGTGCACGACATATTTTAATCCCTTACAGTAATTCTGCCCCTACATCCGCAGGTTGTTTACCCCTGCGTGAGAGCAAAGCGGAGCTAGAGGAGGACATCCAAAGGCTGGGGGCTGGCAGATGGCACTATATATAAAAGCAGCTGTGCTACTGTTGGCAGAGGGCCTGCAACGGTGCTCTGTGCTCGTGGTACCAGTCCTTAAAGGATGGAAACACATTCAGTGCCCTAGCAGGGACTGCTGGCCGGCAAGCCTTGCTGCAGGACACTGTTTCCACGAGGAGCCTTTCCAACACCTTATAGAAGCCAACCTCCCTCCACAGGACCCGCAGGGCTGCGACAAACCAGCCCTGTCCCCTGACACACAGGCAAAGGCAACATGAGGGTGGCCCTGAAGATTAGGTGCCGGGAACTATTTCTGCCTCCRTTTCCGAGCTGCATTATCCGTGGCCTGCGCTGACTCCGCGGACGCCCGCCTTCGGATGGCCTTGGAAGCGCCTGCCCGACTGCCCTCCGGCTAACGCACAAACGGGGCCTTCTCCCTGTTCTCCAAGCTTGGGGTTGCTTGTGTTAAAAACATGGGGAAAATATGTTTTTAAGACCAAAACGGCCGCTTGCATAGACAYAGATATAGGTGTAGATGCACATTTACAGGCACAGATGGGGGCTGTGAAGCTTCAGCMTCAGATTAAAACCCTCCAAATAATTCTTACTCAGAACTGCTACTTCCAGGATTAGCTTTCAGAGCAGACTTTAGAGAACTGATTTTTCTTTTCATTAACTGAGAAACAGTTATATGTTAGTCTATCTCGGAAAATACAGTGTTAGGAGAGGGTGTTATAAACTAGTAACAGAATTGAAGAGATTAGCACCTCTTAAATCACTCAGAAACAAAGCTCTGGCAAAGGGTACTGCAACAGCTATACTGTGGGCAGCATGAATCATCTGAAAGACATCTGAAGTGACTTTGTTAGTAGTTAAATATATTATTCCTTTAAAAAACATATACTGGGTCAGYTTACAATATTTAAAGGTCAATGACAATAAGATATGATGTTATCCAGTGTCCGTATACCCACTCGCTCCTCATACTAAATAACAGATGACCACATTTAGTCTCTATACCGCACTGCTTAAAAACCTTTGGATTAGGTTAAAAGACGTGCTTGTTTCTTTATCTTGCTGTTGCTCCTTTCTGTTTTGCTAATRAATTCAAGCAAGATAGCACTGAGATTTTAAAACTTCAGTGTTAAAGTGAAATAAATCATKAACAGCACCATTTAAAATGGAAAAGGTTTGAAAACAGAGGCAAGCTATGGTAGCAAACTGCATTGGATGCTGGCAGATGCTGGCTGCGCTGGTGTAAGGGGCTCTTACACCAAGCAGCCCACAACATTCCCCGCTCCCACAACAAAGCCCATGGAAGCAAAGCTGTGCCCAAAACCTCGGCCACATCACTGGGCACCCAGCAGCTCGGGCTGGCAGAGCAAGGGCCACAAAAGCTATAGATAGACAGCCGTTCAAACTAGGCCACCTGACGTCGCACTTAACTCATGGGCAGCCATGTCCTCTTCCTGACTGTGCCACCAGGGAAGATAGAATCCCAGGTGCGCTGGGAAATTCTTAAACTGCCATAGGAAAACTCAGGGGAGCTTATCCTTGGCTGCCTCTTTAGCAGAAACGGTGACACTTGCTACAGTCACACGGGTCATCCCGTTTCAATCCGCACAGGCCTGCACGAGTGCCTCGCTGCGGACACGGCTCGTTAGTGCCAGACAGCAAACTGGGCTTCCCATAACACCTGTGACCCATATTCCTTCATTTCCAGGCAYGTGCACGCGCGAGCACACACGACTRAGGCTCCGGTGCCCACCCCCTGTGGGCATTTCCCAACTGCTGAGGAGGCCTCCACCACTCCCAGGTGCTCCCATGCTCTCCTTGTCCAGTCCTGCATGAGGCAGAGGGGCTCAACCTGGCAGATCCACAGATTCCCCAGGAGATGCCTCCACAGGCAGCCAGCCAGGCCTAACAGCAACCTGAGACCAACTGGGCTAACAGTGTCACGAGGTACGATGCCCTCCTCAAACAGGCCTGCCCAGGCGCTCAGCCTATCAATGACAGACACTTCACTGAAATATTCCTGCTCTAAAATACCAAAAATAATAGCAATGAAAGCCAGATCTCTTACCTCACCTAATATCACTAACACTCACACACTCTCCCAAGCACTGGCTCTACAGAAACCAGTGTCCTGCCCATCACAATTCTGAACCATGCTTAAATTTATGAGATGACACTTTCCATGAAAAAGCCAAGCTCCATCASCACAGAGTCTCATCTAGAACCCACCACACTGTTTCTCAGTTGCCTGTTCCACCCACACAAGGGCTGAGATGTTGCCCAACGTGTCCTTACACCAGCGGCARCACAATGACGTGACGTTACTGTCCCAGTGTGTCCAATTCCAATCCAAGAGCTATCGCGTTTCTCTAGGATTGTCACTGCTGCCATTTTAATTTGGTCCCCATACTGGTGACTATAGTTGTGCAGATCATCAGCACAAAGAATTATAATCACAGTGAMGTTTAAATTTAACAAAGGGGTATTTTCCAGTGGCTTATTTGGCACTTAGTTTTTTCGCTTTCAAAGGGAGAGCAGCAAGCCATTACCCTGGAAATTAGAGCAAACCGGGCCCTGAAATTGAGATGTTTAGAAACAGAAAGGTGGAAAARGGGATTTAAAAAAGTTTTATAGGTCCAGAACAACACTGGGTTGTTATGAGATGTTCCACTTGCTGGCAGTGTTAATAAGCTAAAGGCAGCTGACCCTCTGTGCCCAACTTTGACATGAGAAATAATGAGAACAGAAATACAGGTTTCCACATGATTCCACAGTTAAAGCCATGCTTAAATTGAGCTTGTCTCATACTTGCCTTTTGGGAGCACCTGAGCCCATGCCAAGATAGCTCACAGCATTAGCCCAACTGAAAGTTAATCACTGTTTGATTACTGGSGTGTCTTAAATAAGGCAAACCCAGGGCAGAGCAGTAAAGGAACTAAGGGTGTGTGTTTGTGCACTTGTGTTTCTGTAGGTACAAACTGAAAAACCCACGGGCACCCAACGCTCGTGCCACTTGTTCAGAAGTAACTTTTTACAAAAAAAAAAAAGTATTATAAAATTTGTATGGAATTATTTGTATAAAAATTTGCTTTCTCCTATCTCCTAGTTTTTAATTCTCAGTTACAAAAAGTAAAAACAAAATAAGGCTTCTGTTTAGTGCCCAGTCATCCTGTATCATATCAACACCAAAGACTTGTCAAAGTTATTTGTTTCTGCTCCAGAAATAGGCACTGAAAAATGAAGTTGCAATTCTATTTCAGAAAGTTGTAGCAATGGTGACATGCTGCTCACTTACAAGTCTAGTGCACCCGAACAATCAACATACTAAAAASCCAAACTGAGCCACTTTTTGCTTTCTTGGCAGCAGTTAAGATTAAGAAGCATTCCACTCATCATAGAAAAAAAGCTGAAGGTGTTATGAAAGCAACAATCTATGTTTAAGTACACATACATCTCATGTTAAACAAAAAGCTTTAGCTCCTTTGTCTGCACCATCAGAGCTCACTGGAATCCCTGTTACTTGTCAGAGGGATTTAGCGTGAGAGACTTTGGGGCTGATGGGGCTGGGCCAAACCAGAACACRCCAAGAAAACTGAAGCACTCTCAGATGCCGAGCCCGTGATGCCGCAGGACAAACAGCCCAAGAACACAAGGAAAACATTTGCAATTAGTATTTACATTAACAGGACCACCATTTATAATGACCTTCAGAGGCAGACCGGGAATTCTCCAAGAGGTCACGTACCCGCAGTGGGAGAGTTTGCGTGGTGGGACTTTTTGGGCAGGTTGAAGATCTGTTCACCGGGATCTGGTGGGGGCAGAGCGTCTTGGCCTTGTCGAGCTTCCACGGGATCGTACTCCTTCCCATCATAGTTAGCATCAAAGAACTTCTTAAACCACTGAATGAAATCCAGGTTGTCTTGGAAGCGCCCTTTGACCAGTTTCTCCACCGGAATTACCTGGAATGTAGAACAAAAGGTTCCAATAGTGTATCATTGCCMAGGATGAGATTTGGAAGTAAAACATACACTCTTCTTTGAAAAAGGAAGTCTACAACTACAGCAGTATACATTCCTCTGTCATTGTTTCCTTCATAAAAGAATGAAAATKATATTGGCTTTGCAGGTGCTCTTAATAAGGAATTAAAATGATATAAAAGAAGGACCCTGGCCTTGAAGCAGCTTATGATGTAGGTAAGCTTTCCAACTGCTCTTCCAGATTTACCTCTTTCTTGTGGCGCTGACAGCCATGACCAGTGAAGCTGTCCTGGGAGTAATGCTAGATTCAGCTCTCTAGAGATTTATGTATTTTTTTTAATGGAAGCCCTGTTGTTGGGCTTACTAAAAATAAACAGTTCTTCAAAGAGTCCAGATGAAAGCTCTTGCTCTCTGCCCAACTGTGTCCACTACAAAAGCCCACCAGCTTTTACAAGACATGCTCAAGTTCAAACCAGCCTACGTTTTGGTAGTGCACATTAACACTAACCCTGAGGTTTTAACCTTGTCGCTGTTCCCCTTCCACATGTAGCTCTATCTAGAGTAGCTTGTTGAGCTGCAAAGTTGACTAAAACGTTATGAAGCTTTAGTAAAAGAGAAGAGAGGATACAACAATATATCTGTATCAATATCTTGCGTATTTTTCACAGAAATGAAGCCTCCCAAATGTGAGCCATGCCAATACTACTAGTGTAATGATGAGGTTCTCCGCCGCACTGCAGGAGGCCACAGATTTTGTATAACCTGTCCGGTTGTTCCGTTCGGACTAATGCTGCACTGACAAAGTATAGCAAATTTGCTCCCTATAGAAAAAAAAATCAAATATTCAACTTTATTAGACCTTCTAATACTTCACAGTAAAAATGAATTTTAAGTAGAAGCATTCAGRGGACACTATGTTATAAAATTCTTACAGGACCCTTCAGTAAGTCTACTGAAGTTTCAGAAAAAGGTACTACTTAAAGGCAGAGCAGAACAGGTCCTACACTTACGTAAAACCAAAAATATGAGAACATAACTTTTATAATTAWTTTTTATGCACATAGAATTTATATGTCCATCAATTTCATACATCTAAGCAGAAAATCAGTCTTTTATGGTTGAACCAAAACCCATTTTATAGGAGACCCTCATTCTTGCTTAACAAGTTTTCATGGCCACTGGCYACTCCAGCAAACCACTGGGCAAATGATTCCAGTCCTTGAATACTCTGAATTCCTTAAATCCCGTTTTGGACAAGAAACATGCAATACTTACARGAGCAGCATATTTTCACATTATTTTGCTGGAAATTCAGGGTATCAGTAATCTTACTGCACCTGAAATTAAGGCTACAGTGCTCACTGACAGTACAGAATGTCCAGCACATGGTATTTTATCAAAACGGTTTCTGATATTAAGACATAATGAGTTAGGTTATACAATTCCTCCAGAGACACATGGACTCAATTTTCACTTTGTACCTAAATGCGATAMGCCAGTTTTCTTTCCTCACGCCTATATACCCTTTTCAGATGTTGAAAGGTGAAGAACAATCTTTTCCCATAAAACTCATAACCCCAGTTCTGGATCCAGGGTTTGATCCAGGGATTGAAAATATGGACTCTTAAGTATTTTGGGGTCTGTTTTCCCATTTGTTGCCTTTGACCAGTTATACAACTTGTGAAACTTGCAGGGGTTGAAATGTAAATACAGGATGCCTACCTTGTCCACATTCATTCTTTTGAACGATGCCTGCAGAAGCTTGAAGTTGTGGATGTACTCATGCTCCAGCTTGGCTTGAAACTTCACCTTCTTCAAGCTAATGCACCCCGGGAACAACATGTCCATGAACTGGCAGTAAGCGGCTCCTACAACCAGAGAGCAAATTGACATTAATCCACATGCAGGCACCTAAGACTCAATGTCATTTACTGTAAGAAAAGAAAGCTGTTGATTATGACACTGATGTAACTCAATTTAGTAGTATGAACCAAACATCTACTAACCTACTGTATACTGAACAGTGTGACATAATTAATACAGAGTTTTTCCATCCGGTCTGGATGCAGCAAACACTGTGGTGTAACATGTGAAGAACCACCATGGCTAAAATAATGTAAATCTTTCTTCTGTTAAAAACTGATGCTCTGGGAGTTCCTACACACAGCACATGGCCAGTTATTCTACAGCCCAAAGTAGTCAAGTCAACTCATGGCAGTTAAGTCCAAGGCCATCACACCAGACTACCTGAGAGCACAGCTTAAAAACAAGCCTGCAAGGTCTAGCTCGGGAGGAGTGAAAGGGGGACTGAGCATGTGTGTGCATGTGTAATCCAGCGCAGAGTGCTGCAGGTTTGGTAAAATGCCTAGAAAATGTACTGAATACAATTAATAGGGGCAGTTTTTATTCTATGAGGAGTTCCCCCTCCTAGAACACTTTTCTGTCATTTACCAAAGAAGTTTTCATTACTGCCACACTCAAGTGTGTGGAAAATTTAGGTGGCAGAAGTTTGAGGAAATCAGAGGAAAAGCAATTTGAGTTCTTCAGGAGAGCTCTCCTCCCCATGAGGTGCTCCAGAGGCAACGTGGATTCCCTGAAGACTGATACTGACTCCCTGAAGGCCGTTCCCGAAGGTTGGGAGTGCGAAGCTGTCACCTCCACCGAGTGCATGGGGCAGGGACGTGAGCGACCACCTGAACCCCCAGCCACAGGGCACCACCACAGCAAGGACCTCTGTGCATTTAGTGCCCATGAGTTTGATAAACGTGCCCAGGTCTCACCTAACAGTTTAACTCTGTATCTACAAGAAGTACTTTCATCAAAAAAKAATGTTCTTTCAGTGCTCAGACAGAGGTCGGATTAATAAAACTGGCCCATGGCTTGTCCAGTGTTACAGAAGGGGCAGAGATGATTTAAACTTGACCCCATTCTCCCCCATCAGTGTGCATGTATTTTGAAGGGACCAACTTCAAGCACCAAATACTTCTCATTCTCTGTATCCACTCAACCATCACATGAAGGGTTACAGAGCTTCTAACTTTCCCCAAAGCAAAGCACTTTTTAAGACTGGAGTCCAAAATAAAATTATCTAAAATATTGATAGGAGATTTGATAAGAGACAGASCAAGATCAAGCTTTACTGCGGAAAAGCACTGCTATCTTTTTAAATTTTTTTGAAGATTTTTTTTTTTTGTGGGAAATAACTGGAAAAAACATCTGATTTTCCAAGGACACCTTGTACTTAGCTGTTTGCAACAGTTTTGATATGATTAGCAATCAAAGTAAAATAGTCCCTGAAGGAAAAGGCGCCTTCTGGCAAGTTACAAATATCAGATGACACCACTTGCATCTTCTTGTAAAAAGAGCTATGTAAACAGAATTAGCGATCCAAAAYTCATCCTGACCAAACGAACTGGTAAACATTCCCCAACAGCTAAATGACAGTTGAAAGCATGTATATATTCAGATCACTGTATCACTGCTTACATTTATTGCTATTTCATTTCATGCAAAAGGATTATTACGCGATTACTCCATGTTATAAATTGAACTTGTTCCCAACTCTGTCCTTTCATCTCCTCCTTGCCCCAGTTATAAGCTTTACTCTGATATCTCAGCAACTGCCTGAAGGCTTTGAAAATTCACTGCCCAACCTTTCATCTAGATCCTTTCAGAAAACTAGAAACCCGAAGGTTTTGCACTGGATGTTTCTCCTCCTGCTAGAAAAGTGAATTCCTCTGGCTTGTCTCTAGTCAGAGCCTTCCCAGGCTTAGGACGCTGGTTAAAATGCTCCTCTGTGATTCCTGCTCATCCCTTTGGCCGTTGTGTCCGGACTTTCTGTGAGCCAGGACGTGGGCCTGGGCTCGCTCGAGGCCCATGGGCAGGACACGCTGGAATCCATCCCCGGGACAGTGTAAACCTGACGGATACAACAATGAATCCAGCTGCCAGACCCCGGCAGCAACATTTTATTGCACTGACAAACGCAATTTATTAAAGTGCTCCTTCCTGAAGTACAGTGGCAATGTATAAATATGGGCTGACTGAAAGCCATAAAATACAGAATGAGGAAATTCTTCTTGATTCCCAAAAGGCAGAGGCCAACCTACCACTGCAACGGGAAAACCAAAACAAAACGGAGGTATCCTTACAGTTAACCATCACCACCCGAAATCCCCTTTGGCCCTGAGCTTAAACATATATATTYRTATATAGTATTAYATATAATATAGTTAATGCAGATATTAATATCTATATCTCCAGTGAGAAACATTAAGATTATAGACAATTTATATTATATTGGAACTTTATTTAAAAGTTTGTCCCTTAAAGCTTGTAAATTAATTTATAGCTGCCATATTGCATTTCAATGCTAAAATTCCCTGTGGCCGAGCCAGGATGCCACTTTCTACAGCAAAAATTGCCACGATGTCGCAGAGGGAGCAGACAGAGCAGCCCTACTCAAGCAGCACGAGATGGCTGAGCCTTCACCYCGCACGCAGAGCCTATGAAGAGGCTTGGCCCTCTGCACACGCAATAGCACTTGCATAATTTGTATGAACAAAAAGAGGTTGGACATTTTGTACAATTTTTAAAAATTTCCTACAACTGCAGGCACAGATGTTGGACACAGTGCCCGGGCAGAAGTGCTATGCCAGAGCTGATATGTCCCTACACATACACACACACACACACACACACACACACACACACACACACACACACACACACAAAGGCGGCGGCAGAAATCTCCTCAAGGGAAAGCCGAACATCCCAGCTGGCAGCGCTCCAGGAGCGGGATTACTGCCGACACGGCGGATACGTCACCTTTAAACCCCCCTCATCTGCTCTGGCTGGCACGAGCGGCTCAGAAACGGGGCACAACTCACTTCTGCCTCTGAGGTAGGGCCGCTGGTGACAGAGCTCCTCGGAGGCAGCGTCCCCGGATCCAGCCGTGCCGGATCACCCGCTGCCAACAGAACCGAGGGCAAAACTGCTCCATTTGACCTGTTTTAAAGACTTGTAAGAAAACAGGCGCGTGAGGCCGCGTTATGAGACCGGATTGCCTTGAGCATGGCCAACACGCTCGGCACCGCTCGCTTTCCCCTCTCCTCCCGGAGGGATTTCCTGTAGCCACATKGAGCCGCAYGGGGCAGGGGGAACAGGCCTCTCCRCACCGGAGGGGGCGTCTTGCTGGAATTCTGAGGCCAAAAGAGAAGGCCGAGAGGGGATCTGATTAACAYGTATAAGTACCTGAAAGGGGAATGTAGGGAGGAAGGGGCCAAGCTCTTCTCCGTGGTGGCCAGTGACAGGACAAGGGGYAATGGGTATAAGCTGCAACACAGGCMGTTCCAWCTMCATGTGAGGAAGAACTTCTTYCCTGTGAGGGTGMCAGAGCCCTRGCACAGGCTGCCCAGGGAGGCTGTGGAGTCTCCTTCTCTGGAGGTCTCCAAACCCGCCTGGATGCCGCCCTGTGCCCCGTGCTCTGGGTGTCCCTGCTGGAGCAGRGGGKTGGACTRGATGRTCTCTAGAGGTCCCTTCCAACCTCAGYCATTCTGGGATTCTGTGGAAACCACAGCAAGAGAAACTAAGCTTTACACCACTGCTTTGTGGGGAATGTTTCGGAAGAATACGYTCCTACGCAAGCACSCAATTCCAGCTCAAGCATTTCAAGCAGGCCTTCATACAGATAACTATCAACATCTATCCTAAGACATTAGCCGTGAACTCCTTCCAATCAGTTGTTCACCCAGCATTTGTCACAAGATCACCACACATTCAGAAAATGCAGCATTAYTTGCACGTGTGTTGGTCATAAGCAGTTTAATTCACAAATGACGGTTGCTAATGCTGGTGGGAAACGGCACACACCCAGTGCTGCTGGCGGGACAAGAAAAAGAATAAAAGTGCATCTTGCAAAGGGCATGTGCRACATAATAGTTTAGATGAGAAAGAGAGAAAAAATGTAGAGGGCAGCAATGATTGTTTGCAGTATAGCAGCCTTTTGGGCTCACCTTTTGGCTGAGGCTTCCCAGCAGTGCCTCCTTCGCAACAGCTACAGGGCAGGTTTTTGCCTTGGACATGGGCGTATGAGTTTAGCTTTTCATCTAGATTTCAGCTGTGTATGTCCTGTCGTGCTACGCTTCAGTGGCTTGTGAAGACAGCGCTGGCAATAACTGCGCAAGGCTGCGAGCATCAAATTATATTGCCGATAGGCACAGGGCTAATACACAGCACTGTCCCTGCTGAACACTTCAGTGGAGGGCACAGGCTTCGTAGCCCCATCTGCCTCTCCAGCAGCCCCTATATAACCCAGGGTATAGATCAGCACATGGCTGCACCACTCCAGTGAAATAACCTGATGTAGGAAGTTCCAGCCCACTGCAATTTGCTGCCTTCCTAGCAGGAATGAGGCAACCGAGCAGGGGCCCTTGCTGCAGATGGGCAACAAAGCAGCTCTATTTGAAGCTTCCCTCCCCAGGAAGAGTCTTCTTATTTAAAAAATAAATGAAATAAAAGCTGCAGCATGGAGTGCCATCCTACAAATGGTTGCACAAGTGACTTGCTGCCCCTCAAATAATTGCCAGGGCACAGATGGGAACCTCTAAATGCAGCTTTGCAAGGACAGCAAATGTGCAGGACCATCTCCTTCCTACAAACCATATTGGCCACTATTGAGAGGTGCTGCTAAATTACTCGGGCTTCAGGAAATCCTCTGCCACACAGGGAGGGATTTGTATGACATAATCCAGATATCCACGGGGCATTTTAAATAATGCATCCAGCAGYGAGGCTTCCCCTGTGCTAACTCATATTCTCAGTTTCTGAAGTACGCAGATCATTAAGCATCTCATAAATTATACACGGT